ATCAAGATGCACCCCAGCTGTGCACACCGACAAACAACTCGTTAATTACCGAATGCAACACAGCTGAGGTGCAGATCCCACAGGTTGAGAGAGCAGGGGAGAGAAAGGCGGAAGAGAGGCAGGTTGCACCGAGCGGACCTGACAGTAACTGCAACTCCTTTTGTTTTTTCAGTGTTTAAAATTAAATTATAAAATTGTTCTACAGTATGTTGCCTGTTTGTGTTGAAGGCTTTTATTATTCTTGCTCAACTGTTTTGGACTTAGGCCTGCAACAGTTTGGTGTCATATAAATTGATGTTACTGTTTATCATTCTGAGTGAATGATACGAAAGTGAAAAAAGTGCATGTCAATCAAGTATTCATGTACAAAACAAAAACAGTCCCTTAATATTAAATATTCTGTCTCAAAACATAGATGGTTGTACATAGGACCCCCTGCCCCTGGATTTTAAACACATCTTTAAAATCAGTAAAGCTTAGGCAGCCTATGGTCAACAATCAAATCCTGCATTGTAACCTTGTTCAGACATTTTACTAAAGGATTGATTCTTACAGAAAACCTGAGCCTAGTTTTCAGTACTCAGTATATGACACGTTGCCTAATTCATCTTCCATTTTAGAATGCTGGAGACATACTGTAATTTCTCTTATGCCCATCATTTGAGATGGAGCTAAATTAAGAATGCCATTATCTTCCTGAGTGTTTTTCACGAGGACTGAGCAACAAGAAAGGGTCTGCATTTTTTTTCTTGCAAAGCTCTTGTACACTGAATCATACTGCTCCCTTTTTTTAATTTTACTATACTGATTGTCATTTTAAGTTCTACATGAAATAGATTTCTCAATATCTTAAAATATCCTCCAGTTGAATCAAGTTCACCCACAGAGAGTTCAATCTGGAACCTAAATGCCAGGACAGGGGGAATTCTCTCCTCAGAGAGGAGAAGTGAATAATTCAGAGGCCATTCTTTTCAACAAGCTGCCAACAAATTGCTGGGAGACCAGTCAGTGAGAACTAAAGAGCCAACCAGCACACACACATACAAACATGCACACGAAATCACACATAACTATGTATCCAAACACACACACACACACACTTTTATGTCTTTAATTCATGTTGAAAAAAAATGCAAGCCTTTAAAACCCAATGATTTTCTTTAATAAAACTTATAAATCAGACAATTATATGAATGTAGATCAGTAGTTTTTTGAGCCCAGTGCACACCAAAGAGCAAGTCAAAATGTTAAGGCACACCTGTATTCATGTCCATGGAAAATAGCCTCTATATCACATATCAGAGTTGTCACTCTATAAACGTTTATTTTTATTTAGTTATGACAAATAAAAAAGAGTGAGTGAGAGAGGAGCTGTAGATCTGGCATGAGAGGGAAGCATCAAGATGTAATCACTCCTTACAGACTGAACTAAGAAGAGAGATGCACTGGGAATAAAAACTAATTTGCATATAAACAGTAGTCTAAATACATAGCCCATCAACAAAGAGCAGTGTGAACTGAACTGGAAAAAAATCTTTAGCCTAAACTTGTAAAGAGATACATTGAGAATGAAAACTGGTTGACATTGAGTTTAAACATTTGCTAATGTAAATATTGTTTGCCTACTTGCAAGACAGTCAGACACATGCCTGTTGATGCGCGCAGATTTTTTTTTTTTTTACATCTTTGGTGGTATTAAAGACAGTGCATCTGGACTGAACATGACACCTGCAAATGTTTTGGCAAGCAGGAAGTATGAGCGTCTCTACTACCGTGTGAGGTTTCGTCTGCTGTGCGATGAGCTCCACTATTATGTAACTTACCTCCATAACCTTATCAGACAATTTCACAAATTCCCATAAACAGTCTTGCTGCCTCTGGTGCAGATCTCATTCTCTAAGGCCACATTTTTCTCAGTATAGAAGGCATGTTTGGTTTCCAAGTGCCTCTTCAGTTTGTTTGGCATCACATTAGCATTAGTTAACTTTTCCTGACAGATGACACGCTGGGGCTGGAGGGCTGTTGACATCCACATTCAAGCTGTAGCCATAAAACACACAGCTTTTATGATATTGTCTACTGACAGTTCTTTTTCCGTTTTTGTGAGGTGGTTCTTTTAGGCTATAGGATTTGCCTCTAAACTGGAAAATGAGTGCCTAAAAAATAAAAAATTCATTCATAACTTTTTGGATCATTGTATATTGCAATACTAATGTATGGCTGTCACATAATCCTATGGCACACCTGGACTTCACAGCACACTAATATGCCACACCATTTGGAAACCACTGATGTAGACAATGATATACAGTACTGCTAATTATACATTATATTAAATATTGTTAGTGAGTATTCATTGAGTCAGTTCTACATTTGATATGAACTTACAGTTACAGCAGTTGAAGTCATTTTGTTCCAGAAAGGTACAGCCAGCTAGTTGTGGTACCAAATATTTGGATCACTATGTATATTAATAGATTTTATAACCTCAATAAGAACTGAGTTTACACTGGCTGGTACTGACTCCAGGAATTTACTGCAATTTTCTGCAGCACTGTTGGATTAGACTGACTTAGCTCTAGGTGTACCTAATAAACTGCCAACTGAGTGTATGTGGCCAGACACACTCATAAATGCACTTTGCCAGTCACTCTTGCATGTATGCACACATACACATTTGTTAATAGACAGTACTGTCTATACAAGGAGTTGCTGGCTGTAGCTTTCATAGAGGTGAGTTATTAAGATGTATGTGATGGTGGCTGCACCATGGGAGATGTTCTTCACCATGGAGCTCACTTCAAAATATGAATAATTAGGATGGATTTCTACCTCGAGGGAAAAGCCAGTAGCAGCATCCTGGAAGCAGATTAGCAGGATGTTGAGCAGCCTCTTCACAAAAACAAATGGCCCCCACAGCAGAAACAAAAGAGCTCTTTCACCGTTTCTGTTGAGAGCCAGAAGTGTTTTTCAGTGAGACTCCGTTGTGCCATGTCTCCTTTAATGTACCCACATACTGTACCAGCATACCCTCTGCAGGGCACTTTGTGTCTGTGGGACAAAGAGGAATAGTAGGAGTAGCAGTAGGTATAACTAATAAATAATACACAGCCTTGGATATTTTACACCTGAACAACAGACAAAATAGACACAGTTTTTTATTCAGACATCCTTAAAGGTATTCTTGTTAAAGTTAAACTGTAGCTCTGATAGCAACCCTAGGCTTACTGAGAGCATGTGTCAGGTTTGCCCAGCTGCACCTGCCTCTCTCACCTTCCTCTCTTTCATTTTAGTTTCCAATCACGCCACATTCCACACATTCCCCAATCAACACCAGATGCATTCAATTAGTCCTTCACCTTATTTATACCCTGCTCACATACCACTCCCTTGCCAATTTGTCATAGCTCCCATGCTGTTACGGCAAGCCGCACACCAACAGAGCAACTGGACTCAGTAATTGGCAGGACTCAAACTCAGGTCAGAGAGAGATATTTATTTGACAGAGTATGGAACGGAAAGGGGGTGGCAAGGATCAGGCGCGGAGCTGCCGGCGTGGGTCTCGGGTGATCAGGCCGCAGAAATGACTGAACCACTGGAGGAGCCGCCCGGGGTCGGAGGAGAGGTCTTGGCACTGCGTATAGAGCAGAGAAGGAGATTTAAGAGAGGAGACAATAGGCAGATGAGGGTGTGATGATGCTGAGCACAACACAGGTGACCTGCGTATAGAGGACTGCTGGCTCCGGGCTGGAGAGCGGGCTTGGAACCCAGCGCCGAGGTATGCAGACAGGAACAAGCGCCCACGCTTAACTGACCCAGGCCCTGGATGGGGACCCCCACCAACGATCGTCGCTCGACAGTGTGAGAAAAATGGTCCATTCTTTTGAAAAGAGAAGACTAATAAAAAGATATATTTCTCTATATGAAATTTATTATGCATTAACGTATCAAAATAAGCATGTGCACATGGATCCCATCTGTTTAGGATAAACAGAAAAGACTAACTTCAACTTAGCAGTACACAACATTTATATGAAAAAATGTTACTCTCTGATTGGTCCAAAAACTGTTGGGGAGGAATTGTGGTTTAAACTTAATTCTCCCAAGATTGGTCCTTCAGTCCGTCCATCCTCCAATCATCCTCTCTGCTCCTATGGTTGTAGACAGCACCCTAAAAAAAAGTATATAGCGGTTAAGTGAGCGCAGGTGTGCCTCGTCGCCGGGAGCGTGTTCCTACGTGAGCAGGGGTGGAGCCGCTGATAGCCCCGGTAACAGCTGCCGAGGTGCCAGGGACGTCCTGATCCGCGGACGTAACACATGCAGACAACCGGCGCCACGTTGAACATCTCCTCTTTGTATTTACTATTGTTGTATGGATGCTGATTCAGCATCCATACTATGTTATCCTGGTCTTTATTATTATTATTGTATGTATGTATGTATGTATGTATGTATGTATGTATTATTGTATGGATGCTGATTGCTTCAGCAAGCATCCACACTCTTATCTTCTTTATTATTCTGGGTTCCGCCGCTGTTCTTTGGCACCTAACTCCTTCCACATACTTTCACCTAGAAGGGCCATTGAGGTATCAAACTGTTCATCTTATTAAGGACATGTGTGCTTGTATACAGAATATTTATAACTTTTATACTTTTTAAGATATTCATCTTTTTTCATCATATTTTTCCCCATTGGAAATGAATGGGGCAAAGTTGGAAGCTTAATATCTCCGGGATACCTTGGGCTAAAAACGCCATTCCCATTATTTATGTTAAATGATTTATGACTTACAGTACTTCCACAGTTTATCCCAGTTCACAGGATTGTGCTTTAATTCACAAACAGCAATTAACAGCATAAAATCCATCAAAACTGCAAATAAAATAGATAAAATTTAACATTTTTATGAACAGCAATAATATAAACCATTTGGACAAACACTGTCAACAGGTGTGGTAAATTTAAAACAGTGAACAGTTCAGCCAACAAGATTTCATGTCTGTGTGAAATGAAGGTGATAAAGCAGAAGTCATTGGGTATAGCATAACATCCGTCAAATTTGGTGACTGTGTGCAGCAACACCAGCTCGACCCTCACGAGCTTTCCTCCCTCCATCACGGTCAGAGGCAAGATGCAACCACCTGTTAAGGCAATTTACAAATTAACATTAACACACTGATACAAAGTGTGCCCTAAAATAGTACTGCGTGTAAATATGAAAGAGTTTGGGGTGGGACACTTAAATAGTACCAATCGCTTTATGGCAGCCTCAACCTGCATGTCGCTTGCAGTGCTAGTCAGTCTATTTTGTTTTACTGCACCTTTAAATAAAACATTTCTTATTAAATGTACTATAAAATCTATTTTCTTGAATTCTCCAATAGCCAAAAAGCAAACACCCACACATACAAACTACATTAACTTACTTGTTATAACATCCTTTAACACCATTCGGTGGAATGCAGCCTTCCCACTGATTCCTCTCCAATTGATTTTAAGTGCAAGGGGATTTGTCATGACATGGCTCATCATCCTCCAAACACTCTCTTTGACATTGGTGCCCCCTCTCAGTGCTAATGTGTTGATCTGGCAAGAACAAAAAAATAAATAATAAAAAAATAAGTACATAGACACTTTGAAGGGGAAAAAAAACAAACAAACCACAAACCAAGTTTAAAACTTTGCTAATCAGAATTGATGCATTTTCCAGATCCTGTCCCAAGGTGTCTTCAGATATCTCTTAATTACTGGACAAATTACTGGACGAGTAAATGAGGCAGCATGAATAGAAAGGGTTAGCACTAACAAATTAACATGGGAAAACAACTACTACTAGTAGTAGTAACAGGAGGAAAAACAATCAACCAGTGAACAACCAAACTGAAGAAGAGGAGGAAGATATTGGAGGAGAAATGAATCATCTTGGCATGAAGACACCAAGGGATGTAGTATGGTATTCTGAAGAACAATATGACAGTGAGTGAGGAGTTTAAATGACCTGATTAGCTGAAGAGTTAAAGCTAGGCATAGGTGTAGCAAATAAAAGAGTGAGCATGGGATAACAGGGGAAGGGCAGTGGGTGACCAGGCATGGTAAAGTGGAGTGACTGTAGATTAAAGTTACAGAGGAGGTGGTGGAGTGGAAAAGACAATGAATTAATATCTTCCAGCTGACTGACTGAACACACCTGCCCCAGGTATTTAGCAGTGGATAGGGCAGGGATAGTTGGAAAACAAGCAGGGCTGCAGCTCTTGGGGACCAGGGTTGGCTTCCCCTGTCCATTTTGGGAGAACCATCAGACAAAAACTAAAATAAGGCGGAAGTGAATCACAACGTTGTCTCCCAAGCAGTGGAAAAGTCAGCTTTGAGCAGTAAAAATATCCTCTAGGAGGTGGCATAATGGTGGATCTTACTAAGGTAAGTTTAGCAGATATGAGGCCAGATAACTGTACAAGCAAGAATGCCTCATCAGGTGAGTCTAAATTCCTTTACTGGAGGCAGGTAA